TATTTACCCGTTTGAATGTACGTGTGGACACATACATAGGGTAGACTCATCGATCTCTCCAAGTAACGGCTTCAGAGCATATTCTTAAATGGCTCCAGAAGCAAACAGAATCCTCAGAACCCAATAATGGTGAGAACAGGAGAGCTAGCTCCTCTATTGCGAAACATATTATAAAGACAGGACATAAAATGGACGTTTACACATCTTTTAAACCTATCTCTAGAACGTGTTTGGGGAGAGTATCCTAAAGTTTTTGGAAGTCCTAGCAATTAGAAAGTTTAAACCGCCTTTATGAGTTCAAAAAAAATTCGTCGTTACCTTAAACCTAACTTGGTAAACGTTGTTTTGATACCATAGCAGATATACTATTACCTCTGTTATTTGGTTTAGTGATCTTCATTGTTATTTTGACTTTCAAGGTTTCCTCTTATCTTGACCTAAATTTATTTTTGTCACCTCTAAGCTCTTTGTTGATTTTAATTATATTCCTATGACAAGTAAGTATGTGACCAGATAGTTTGAAATGTATAGCGGAAATACATCACATTTGTCAGATAATCTCCGTCTTCTAATAATACTATCCAAATTTATAAAAGGGACTAATTGTTTAAACGAAAACTCTAAAATGAAATTTTCGAAACTGTGTAGTTATAATTGATATGATCGTGAACAATAAAGTTTGTTCGAAACTTTGTCATCCAGTTAACAGAAATACTGTTTCTTCACTGTGTGATATATGTACAATAAACCGATTAATGTGGAAGTGCAAGAGTACAGTTAAACCAGTTAAAAGACATATGACAAAATATAGTCTTGATAAATCAACTGCACTCATACAGGAGATACGTGGATGATACGTTCGTAATCTGTGATGAAAAATCTGATTTAGATTCTCTCCTCGAAACCTTTAACGCAGCGCACCCATCGATAAGATTCACCTTAGAAAGCGAATCCAAAAACGCATTCCCAATCCTCGATGTGCTGATAACCAGAAGACACGATTGTACGATCCAAAGATCGATAAACCACAAGTCAACATGGACTGGACAGTTTATCAACTTCCAGAGCTTTGTTCCACTGATCCGAAAGAGAAACCTGGTACGTACATTGTGTTCAAGGATTAGAAAAATCTGTTCGGAAGACATGGCAGAGGAAGAATTAAATTTATTACGTGAAACCCTACTAGAGAATGAGTATCCACCAAAATTTATCGACAAAAACATGAAGGAGAAGCCTCCGGTGTCAGACATCGCAACGGTCCCTAAGAAGACTTTCTTCGTGAACCTAGAATTCAAAGGTGATATCGTGGGGGAAATTCTCAGAAACCCCATTATGGATATGATTTTATTTTGATAAATCACACAGTGCTGTACAGTAATATTAACCGTACAACAGTTACTGTACAACACTGTGTGATTTATCAAAATAAAATCTTATTCATAATGGAGTTATGCTCTACCACAGTGCCCAAGTTTTATTCTCAGAAACCGCCTTTCTAAATGTCTGAAGAAGACATTTCCAACAGCCACCCTACGTATGACATTTTCCTGCAGACAGTTAATCCAGTCTAACGCTAAGGACAAGATACCGCTTTTGGCCACTTCAATGTGTATTTATCAATTTACTTGCTCGTGTGGAGCAAAGTATATAGACGGCACGCAACTTCAAGTCCACAAACGTATTCCGGAATACTGTCCAGCTTGGTTAGCCAGAGGAGAAATAACAATAGCACCAGCTGTATCCTCGAACACCTTGTCATCTCCGGACATCCAGCACCCCACATGGACGCTTCACAGTGATACACAGAGTCCCTCAATATCGTACAAAGGGACTTTGGATACGACATCTGTACATTGCTGAAGCATTAGCTATTCGAGATCTGAAACCGGACCTCTGCATTCAAAAGGGATACATACATTCTCTCGCCCCACCATGGCCAAAGTAAAGTTCTTACTACAATTTTGCTACTTTCCTTCATTACGTAAGTTTCCTATTATTATTATCACTATTATTATTGTTATCAATACTTTTATTATCATTATTATTCCCATCATCCACATTTTATTACCAGTCTATTACTGTTTATTAATAACATTGCTTATTCATACAGATTTTATACAAAAACATGTTATCGCCTTTCCACTAGTTCCTGTCCATTCTACACGAGCTTATTGATTAGTCATTATCTCACACTTATTACGTCATGCCAACTTCCGTCTCTTTTTTAACTTACAATTAGTCATCCCTTCTTACACCTTACATAATGTAATACAATTTTTCAGGGACAAAGTTTACCAGTATCTGATTGGTCTAAACATTTCTTTGTTAAATATAATTATGATTGTACAGCTCATGAAAATGAATCGTCGAAAAGAAAACTTTCTTCGCTGTTTGTGCCTTTTCCTTATGACTCAATATGGGAATATTTCGTTCATATATTGATGTTATCGGTGATATTTAGAAAATTAATGAAAACCATGCTCATGAGGAGATGAAAATATGTTGAAACTGTCTAAACGAAAATGAATATGTTTACTTCTGTGCATTTCAGCTAAAGTGTATACTATGCTGTAATAGCAGAATACAGTACTGTATGATGTTGGAAACATTTATTCGACCAAATGACGTACACTTATAGAGAAATATATAAACCTAATACTTTGCCAAATGCATTCGTGTTCAACTTTTTTTGTATTTGAAGACTGATAGCGACCCTACTCTAGAGAGTACTGGACAGCAGTTGAATGGTTCCTATATTTTTTGAAAGCATCTACATTCCTGTTTTATCCAAATTAATCTATTGTTTTGCCATTCAGGATCCTTTCAGAAAACGTCACCAGTATACTACCTGCAAGTTAGTGTCAGTAGCATAAACCACACAATTAGTGATGTGAAAATTTAAGTGTGAATTCTTCCGTTGGACTGGGAAGGATAAGAATGAGTTCTCACCTGCTACATACCTTTTCTTTGACAAATTCTGAGCTTGTTTATCTTTCTTCAGGGACAAACATACCGTTCCTTAGTTCGACGAAAGGATTTCTAGGAACCATAGACCTTCCAAACTGTCTAACCCCAGCATATCCAAGTTTGAACTGTTCACAAAGTATCCTCCGAAAAACTACACATCACGGAAACCGATAATGCAGTTTAACATCCCGGTCAGACGAGTGTTCCACCGTATGCTGCGACAACTATCTGACTTGTATTCTCCACCGTGGAACATCCCACTTTTTCCCAAGACCTCTTCAGCATTATCATTATATCCATGATGATATTCTTCTCCAATATCTTTCAATGTCATGGGCTGATCGTGTTCATATCTGTACAACAAGAGGTCATGGATGACTGAAAACTACAAGTTGAAATGATATTCTGTAAGCGACTTTAACTTGAACCGTTCACATCGGTGGTTAAAAACACCCAGCTAAGTGTGAATATCATCGTTTTCGTTCAGCACCAGTTTCAGACAGTAGTAACGCATGTTGAACAACAAATTATAGTCACCAAACTGCTGAGGGAGTGTCTGGATGGTTTCGTTGAATATCCTGTCACTTGGCTTTCGATAATGAATCAGACTTCAGTATTTATCAAACTCAGCTGCATCTAGCTTCGTCTTTGCTCTCAAAATCCACTCTAAAAATGTCTTCATATCTGTAGAACGAAATATCCAATGTTTCGTCTATATCAAGGTTATAAGTAAATCCGGATATTCTACTTTGAATATCGTAATTATCTAGAAATTAATCAATACAGGATGACATCCATAGACTAGAAAACAACTCCACCGATTTTAGCTACTGTTTCATCAATTTCTCAAAGTATATAACGACCATCTGCACGCTATATCTGTCACTAAATTTGTTACGACCGTCAATACAACCTTAACATATTTTAACTAGTAGATTTACAAGCCTGCTGTTCTAATTACTATTCGAAATGTGAAACCACCACATGATAATGATACTACTGACAAGTGACGGAAGAAGGGAAGAAAGCAGACTACTGAGTACTGAGCTATCCCTGTCGCGGATCAACAGTTCAAACTCATACATAATAATAATACCACTATATATACTTAATAAAATGTATATAAATATAATAACTTCAAATAAAAATCTCATTCTTTGCTCGAATTGGAGAGGCAAAGTGAGTCGGGCTAATGAAAGCCTTCGGGAAGCCAGTCACCTGGTCGATGTGTCTTCTCTCGATGAAAGCAATAGCAAGAATGGGTACGTCGAATGTCCGTACAATGTACGAGACTGGCTAGGAAGGCTTCCAAGGTGGCCAAACAGATGTGAACATATGACTGAGAAGTACTGGGTATCTGCGAAAGCAGATGGAATGGATGTGGATTGACAACATTGTCAACGGAAGATTCAACAATCTACTCCGGTCACCTAGACGACAACCACGAACACACTGAGGGAGTGGCTGTAATGATGTTGCCAGCGGCAGCCGAAGCCCTAATGCAGTGTGAACCAATGTCATCCATGATCATGACAGCAGGATTCAACCCCAAAAGATGTAAAGTAACAATTACCCAATGCTACGCAACTGCAAACAACGGGAACAAGAGAAAAAGGAATATTTTTACAGACAAATGCAAACAGTTGTGGACAACATTCCAAATGGTGACATCAAAATCCTTATGGGCGATATGAATGGCAGACTGGGAGCAGATAATATACACCACAAACCAAATAGATTTAATCTCAATCTCAAGGAAGTGGCGACGCAGCTTGCTGAACACAAATTCGAGAAGAGGAGCAGATTTGGGCTCAGATCATCATCTAGTTCAAGGAGCCTCCAAAGTGAAGCTGAAATCCATGAAAACAAATGGATTTAGACCACAATTCAAGCTCAAAATTCGGAAATTGAAGGACAAAAGTACAAGGGATGCCTTAGCTACAGATCAGATCAGAGCAAAGTCGGACACACATATATATAAATATATATATATGTACATATATACCTAGGGATGCAGAAAGATAGAAATATACCAAAATAGTAAATATAGATCCAGTATTACTTGGCAGGTCACATCTGAGAAAGGCAAAATCACTTAATATGCTTAACAAAGAACTTCATACTAACGCGGAATCAAGGGCAAATAAAATCAATACTGGAGGACTATAACAGTTTTTTTTAAATTTTCGATTACTTCACTTATTCCAATTCAGTAGATGCCTCATGTACAAGCCAACTGTGTACCTGAAGAAGAATTTATTATCCACAGTAGGGAAATATAGTATATCGCAGCCGGCTAAATATCCCATCTGTGTAACAAATATTTATGTAGCTTAAGAGACAATTTGACTTAGATATTGACAGAAGTAGGCGAGAAGAAGACGACAATGTGTTCAAAACAAGAAAAAATTAGGAATTCAGTTTTACAATATTAGGGATATGTAAATAGATAATCACTCTGAACATATAAATGATCTACAAAAATATAATAAAAATGTAATAATAAATAAATATAGAATAATTAAATAACGTTGTATATAAATTTTGTTGTGCTACACTCGTATGTGAGACATAAATTTATCTGCTTTCCTCAGATTATGCATTCAACAAGTGTAATCTAAGCCTTCCATATACCAATCACAGCACATGTTAAACGCCGACCAGAATTTCCTGTTGCATGACTTCCTTCATTGTTCTTTAATCCCAAGTCGTCTTCATTTTCATGAATAACGATTGCTCTTCCAAGAAATCCATCATAACGATACAAAGCAGAAATATCAACCTTGAGATCAAAATGCATAACTCCCTTGTCGTCTACTTGAAGATTTCCAAGATCACCAGGATGTCGAGGAGAGCCTGTTAATCCACCATGATTACTGAAAATTTACCAGAATAAGTGAATATTACTCATAGTAAAATAAAGAATCAATAAATATTCAAAGTTTACTGACTTCACTGGCGGATTTTTCAGTGAAAAAAGACTCTCAACTATATTTTAGGATATATATTGTCTCTGAGTCATTCCAGTTTGTTGAGACACCTTATCACACATTTTTATATGACTTCTCTGTTTACAAATGTCCTAGTCATTCAGATGGTTGACTTTATAAGATTACCTATTTCAACAAAGAACTTTCGTGTACTGAGGGCGTTCGAATTCAATTCGATGGCCAACTATTCCGTCACGTTGACTGTGTCGCAATAGGGAAAACAGTTTGAGGTTAGTTTTTTCCTCAACCTAATGTTGTCATGCTTAGAAGCTGGCACTTTGCAACAGCATATACAACAGACGGAATGGAATCTAAGATTTACAGATGATAGTTGTATTATCTGTCAAAATAAATTCAAAGGTCAAAAATTTACTGGTGAATTTCCCAGATGTTTTCTTTTTGGTGAAATAGAGTGAGGGCGCAAGAGAAAATCTATACTCAAAAAGTCCTAATGGAGAGGAAAGTATACACACTTGAAGGGCTTTGTTTCCATCTGGTATAAAGGGAACCTAATCAGAATACTGTTCAGTAGAACAGGGGAAACCTATTCTGACTGTACAAGTGAATATGAAACGAGGACCCTGGAGGCTATTTTATCTAAAAATGGATATATCATGAGAGACCTGTATGTAAATACTCCAGCGACATATTCGCCAATAAAACTATCCAAATCGCTCCAGAAACAGGTGTTTACACCAGTCTCTCATTTGAAGGATATGACTAAAAAGAAGTTTTTAACGAAGACTTGATAAAGCTGTTAGGACTTATTCTACCACAAAGCATTTACTCTTCAATACCCACAAGCGGATGCTTCAATAATCTGGGTAAGTCTTTTCGTAAAATGGTCAATACTTTCAACTGCGAATATCAGTTTCAGCTTGCTTGTGAAGGCAAATGCACAGCTCAGTCAAGGTACCAAAACATTCAGTGGTGAGGCATTTTATAGACTACCGATATGACTCTTTCAAGTCATTAACTGTTGTCAGCAGAGGAGATATTTGGAACTGAAGAGGGATGTACAATTGCAGTTTGTAAACCCGATCTCTGTGTACAAATGAAGATGGTGGTCTCTTCGAATCTACCATTGTCATATATCTCTTAAATATTAACTGTTATTGTTAAGATTCTATTCCATATCTTACTATTACTATTATTCTTGTTTCAATTGAAAATATATATTCTGAGTACCATTATCTGATTTCATTTTGTTAATACTTTACTCAGTTTGCGATTACTGACATTTCCACATTCTTTGTATCATGACTAACTGTTCACTATCTTCTTCAATAGCATATCTCTACTTGCTTCCATTTTCTACTGTCTAATTCACCGGCATCCGCGATTTCCCATAATCTCCCATCTCCTCCTCTCCCTCCTCGCCACAAGACCTCCTCCATGTCACCCTCGCACTGTCGACCAACTCATCACCACTTCGCGATTGAATTTCACTCGAGTGATGGCCTTCACTACGCGCGATGTCATTCGGAGTCCTCCTCGATATATCCCAATTCATCTCCATTTTCTCCCACATATGTTTTGAGCGATTGGCTCTCGCTCGATTTGTTTGTTGCCCGCCGGAGTTTCTTGCTGCTAATTCTTCCTGGTCACCCGCATATTTGATCTTCAATATGGAGCCAGCCAGTGAAGGTAGCAGCTGTTGGCAAAAGTCTGCATTAGCCTTTTGAAAACGCCTTCGTGACTCCCACGCAGTACACGTTTCTGATGAATATAAAAGAACTGATTGACTTCACATTTGTGTTGAAAATTTAAATCTTGTTCTTTCGGCTGAGATGGAGTGCAGCAGCCAAATTTAAAACTGGTTTCAGGTTGATAAAGGTGTGTCTTACCTTTCCGATTCTAGCCAGCTTCGACATCTTAGTTCGTTCCCTTTGAGGTTGAAACGATGGTTCCAAGGTATATGCAGGAAGAAAACTCTGTCAAATCTCTCCTGTTAATGCTCATTGGTGCTGTTTGTTGTCACTGCTGATTGGTTACCTTCATCGCCTCCATCTTTTCTATGGTCATCTAGCGTCCTGTCCTCGCTGCTTCTTCAACGAGTTTGTTGGTTCTCACCTACCTGCCTGTAAGTTTTCGAGTTTGTGTTAAATGAAATAGAAGTCATCTGCAAAACCCAGATCTTCTAGAGTCTTCTCATTGGTGGTTTAGCGTTCTCCTGTCTCTTCGCTCCCCAAAGTCTGACTCATAACACGATCAACCACCATTAACAATACCATCAGTGAAAATGGACAGCCTTGTCTTACTCCTGTGTTCACTTCGACCACCTCTCTGAGTTTACCGTTGTTGATCACTTGGCACTGTAACATAGCCAGCTGTTGAATGAGTCTGATAAAAACTTGGACAGTCCACACCGTAGTCTTGATGTAGTTTCCGAATTACGTCTTAGTCAACGCTGTCAAAGGCCTTCTCGAAATCGATGAAGGAATTCGGTGTAGAGATCTGACTGCCATTCTGTGTTATGTTCTGTGATAACGATGCGTACAGGTAAAATTTAATCCGCACATAATTTCCCTTTCCTGAATACAGCTTGTTACGGTAGTCGGCGGAATTCTGCATCCAGTGCATCCTTTACTCTCTCCAGGATGGTGTGAATTAGTATTTTGCTTGGCGTGGGTGGACAAGAGCATGATTTCACGCCAGTTCTTAGAGACTTACGTCTAAGGCGCCTTTCTTTGGCAGCTAGACGAGGTAGTCTTTCTTCCAATCAGTTGGTGGCTTTTCTTCCTTCCAAACCTTTTGCAGTAATTGCCAGAGAACATCTGCCACAGTCTCTGGTTCAGTTTTCAGTGCTTTTGGGAATTTTGTTTGGTCCTGCTGCTTTCCCAGCCTTCAGTAGCTTGATCACTTTCATATACCCATTCCATTTATTTATGTCAACTTGACTTCTAAGACATTTGCACCTGTCTTCTTCAATGATTGATTCCCCGGAGTTTATTCGCCACTCATACAACTCCCAATGCATTTCTGACAACATATACGTATACATATGTCACTTCTCCATCATATCTATGTTATTGTACGTAGAGTATTTGTCTGAGAAGGAGATCTACCGAAATTTGATGAATTTATGAGATCTTGGCCTATTGACATTTGTTGCTTATTTGATATTCGTATCAGGAAATAAATGTTTCAATTGTTAAAGTTGACTGAGTATTTGCAACCATTCAGTAAATAGATGGAGATAGTGATGAATAAATGAAAGAGATCATTCATCAGATGGTGAATAGCGACGGAATTTAGGTAGGAGCGCACAAATTCCGAAGAGTAAAGATTTAATATTAAACACCATGCATAGTCCAACTATTCTTATCGAATATTATGGTAGAATTTAGTCGGCACTAGACAATGGTGCGGGTTCGATCCGCGGCCACAGACGCACTCCTTTACCTCTCTGAGGCAGAAATAATGCTGGTGAAGAGGAGACGTTGGGCATGAGGCTAGCGACCCCATACTGTAAAACAAACACTGCTACAGAAACTTCAAGCCACTAGCTTGAAGCCCTATGTTCCAGTGAGGAGCGTGAAGGAAAATAAAAAAGCAAAGGGCTAGACACATGACACCTAGTATCTGATCAAAATATCCATTAAAGCCCTACCGGGGATCAATCCCGAGGTCGAATACCTCAGCACAAACATCTATGACTGCGATATACGATGAATTCAGTTGGAATCTCAGAAAGAAAATGATTTCCTTCCGTACGCCCATACGCCTTGCTAATGAATGCTAGCAGGCGAGACACCTGGGTCCAACTCCTTCAACCAGTTAACAACCACAATTCAGGGTGCACCGTGATGGTAATCCACACAGCATGGTGGCCACATTACAAACTTGACTGACGGAATTCAGTTTGCATGAAATAATTGACTGGACGCATGACACTAGTCTCTAATCAGAGTATCGAACTACATGATTCAGAGGACAGTTATTATCACAAAACAGTATTTACCTGTCGAAGGGATTGAAATGTGGCCCAGCATCCAAACAATTATTCCCGGTTGTTCCAAATTCATGTATATGTACGCCTAATTTTTTACTTTTCGGCAAACCTGACACTGATCCTGTTATATGCATCTGTCCACCTTGTCTTGTGAAGTATACACTTCCAGCATAATTTGATCCATTGAAAGTGGCTATAGCATACACAGTTCTCTGACATTGTTGAATTGCTAGAAAGAAAAACCAACAACACTCGTTATAGTGTTAAGACAGTGATAAAAACTGCCACACATTAACAAATTAATATGAATACCAAGGAGAATATCCCATTTTTTGAAGATATATTTGTTGTCTTATTACAACACAATAATTTCGTGAAAATGGTTCCTTTAAAACACTGTTATAATAACTAAAATTGCTTATCCAGGCAAGCTAGAAGTGTCACAGCAGAAGACAAGGGCCAGACAACAGATCCTTTATTTAAGAATTCAACAGATATAGATTATTTTAAGCAAACAAACACCATCTTCTGATATGTGGTTTCTCTCTAAAGGTTATTCTTTCATCTATTTGTGGCTGTTTATTGAAGTTCAGATTGTCTATCTGCAAACTGTATCCACCTACGCAAAGCCTGCTGTGATTGGTTGTTGAGTCAGTGTTTGTTCTTATTTTTCTCATGACCAATATTGGGGACGTAGACATTGACGTAAATTGCTGTCTATCGATTTTGGCTAGCAGCCAGCTCTCACCACAGAAGTAGCTTGAAGCTATTCAGTAAGAAGATCAAACATTTTTAATAACAGAGACAATGAAGGCGCTGAAATATGCACTGACTTCTTGCCTTAGTTTCACCATAGAACTTTGCACAGAAGTGCACCAGTTCAAACTGCTTAATTTCATGTAGTACACAAGGGTAGAACAAAAGTGACAGAAAGGTATTTAAATGAACTATAATGATTAAAAGTGTGCAGGAGATAGAAACAACAGTAACCTTAAAGAAAGATAAGTGTCCTACTATAATAATAACTATTAAAAATACCTTTGGTTCCGAGAGAAACATAGGGCTGCAACAACACATCCCCACTTCGTTCTATTCTCTGCTCATTTCCTCTTCAGCTGGGCCAACGAATGACCGTAATCTCTCATCTCCTTCTCCCAATATAATCTCCGTATCACCCTTGCACCGGCGACCCACTCATCTTTTCCCATTGCGATTCCAATCGAGTGATGGCCTGGCTAATGCGCGACGTCACTTGACGGTTTCCTCAATGTATACCCTATCCGTCTCCATTTTCTCCAACATATTTGTTGAGTGATCAGCTCTTGTTTAGTTTGTCGCCAGGCAGAGTTTCTGGTTAGCGATTCTTTCCAGCCATTTGACCTTCATTATAAGCTGTCGATTAAAGGCTGCGACCTGATGGAAATGCTTTTCGTGACTCTCAAACAAATACAAGTTTCTAATCCATATAGAAGAAGTGACTGACTTTACATTTGTGTTGAACAGAATCCGAAACTTGTTATTTATGCTGAGGTGGAGTGGAGCAGCAGATTTCAAACTGACTTCAGGTCGATGAAGGTGTGCATACCTTGTCTTGTCTAAGTGTTATAGGAGATTAAAAAAATGAAGTCATCTTGGCCAGTGAGAATCATTTTGATCCATATACTATCAATGGTTTCAAGATATTGATTTTTGTCATCTAGAGGTACCCAACTAGGCTGTCTACACCTTTCTGTTCAGCTGGTTTAAATCAAATGTTACAGACTTCATGAAGGGATGCTAGGTTTTAGTTAGACAAGAACTTATTCTTTTTAAATCTCATCTTATGTCAGCTAACTTGTTCTAGAACGAAAGTGATAGTAATTTCCATCTACTCAATTATTTATAGATTCTAAGAGGAAAAACGGAGGCAGGAAATTTTCTATAATGAAAAAGAGGGTCATATATGCAGGTGAATGACTGACTGTTTGAGAAACTTGCACATGGAATTCTCTCCATGTACAGATTGAAGCTAATTAAAACTTAGTCAGTTACAACTGATACTTTTATTATATGTGCCATGCTAAATCTGTCATAAATGGCAACACTACCACACTACCTGGGTTGAAGGGCCTACTTCCGAATTCAAATCCCGGGCCAGCAATTATCATCAAATCGAGTGTTAAAGCCAACTGACCACGCATTAAATTGGGTCATCTATCTAAAGGTTGTTTATTTTCTACATTTTATCAATAAACAATTACAATGTTAACGATGTGTTAGGAACTAGTCCAATTGAATGAGTAGATTTATGCTACATTCTTGTGAATAGTTTTCATCTCAACAGAATATAGTCAGTATTCAAGATATAACGCATATACAGAGAGAAATCTAACCCGACTTCTCTCAGTCAACTTTCTTATAACTTTCAAAATGAAGTGAAAAGCAGCTAATAAATTTTGAAATTCCTTTCACAATTGTAATCTGTTTTTTGTCTTAGTTGTGTTCTTTCAGTAGGTTAAATTAATTACTCAGCTTTCATTGTCTTCAGCTCAGACTTTAATACAAGATGAACTTGTTTGACTTCTGCATGAATGATGTACTTGTATCTCCCGACAGGAAATTTAAAACCCCCAAGTATTCAGAAAAGCAACGCACATACATACAGACCAAATACTCAACTATGATAGCAGAAATTCAACGACTCACACAAGAAACCGTCTGGAGACATTGTTTAAAACAGTTTAAACACACTGTAGCACTCAAGTGCTGAAGAGAATAGAAATGAAATATCTACCTTCTGACTGTCCTTAGAAAGAATGAATACTCATACAATTTCATCAGAACGCGTTTAAGCTCAAATAGGAATACCAACAAGAAACCATTCTCAAAGACCACTCTACCATTTTTAGAGAATATCTCTAAAATAAGGGCTAGGGATATTCAGGCCATTAAAAGAGACGTAGTATACAAGCCAATGGACGTCGGTGGCGTAGCGGTTAGGACGCTCGCCGACCATGCACATGGTCCGGGGTTCGATCCCCGGGCACAGACGCACTCCTTCACCTCGCGGAGCCAGAAATAATGCTGGTGAAGAGGAAAGGTTTGGCATGAGGCTAGCAACCTCATCTTGTAAAAATAAACACTGCTACAGAAACTTCAAGCCACTAGCTTGAAGCCCTATGTTCCAGTGAGGAACGTGAAGGAAAAACAAATACAAGCCAACACAATCACTTCATTCAATATTGTGCAGAGCAAGGGACCTGTCAGAAAATAAGATAAGATCAGTACCATCTACAAAATAAATTGCATAACCTATGTTAAACACCACACTGGTCAAAATGTGAGTCCCCTTAGAACCCAAAAAGCAAGAGCAAAAATTAGCTGTGAAAAGACACGATGTACATATTCTTTTATATCGATACGTGCAGAGACTTATGGTCACCGATTTGATTGAGAAAATGTAGAAATTTTAAACAATGAAAACACTAAAATTGCTAAGGAATTTCTAGAAGCATGATACTCCAATAAATCAGCGGTTAACAGATCAACACATTACTATCGATCAAATTTACCAACTAATAAAAACATGAATCACATGATATGAAAGTTAGAATTCTGAGTCAACAAAAATGATCAGTGTAAAACTGACAAGTAATCACAACTATGATTGACTGGAGATACAATTGGATAATTCATGAAGAATTCCAACAAGCTCAGTCTATACTGATTGCTGCGCTGAAGATGACATCTGGAAGGACAATAAAAGCTTCGCAGTTAGTTCAACCAGCCGAAAGGACACAACTCAGTTAGAATCATCCACATGAGCTACAAATCTTCTCCATTAGAAATGTAATCTGTTCAAACAACGGAGGAGATTTTTAAGTGCATCCAATATCCCAATGACTGTAATAACTTGTTAACCGTCAAAAAATCAAACTTATTAAGCATTTTCCACCAATGATGTGCTGTACTGCGGGTAGGGAGTTTAATAAGTATTCAATTTCTGAAAGTATAATCACACTAAGCAGCAACTAAGTCTGTTACAGTTGAAGTAAGTTCGAAGCCGAATAGAAGGCACTACCTTAAATACCATCAACTTAGAAGGCATTTTGGTTGAAACACAGACTTCTAGTACACTTAACCAATTCATGAATGTAATTTTATTTACATCAAACCATTTTTATATTGATAAGACAAAATGTATCACTATGGTTACCGTTGATTATATCTCCACAGCATTATCTAAAGATTCCTAATGTATCTATATATTCCAAACAATGAATAGAAACATAAAAAGCTTCAAGTACGGAAGAGGCTCTTACCTCAAACTGAGTGTCTAATATTATAATATTAAACGATCGAAAGTATAATTTTCTCAGATAGAAAACATACACACACAGAATATCTCCTCCAAATGGTGATGTATCTATTCCATGACATAAGATGCTTTAACCAATTTCTTTTATGCCTAAATGAAATCTATCGAAAACATCATATCTTTTTCAGACGATTATACTAAGATGTAATATGTCTTACTAGATATTCTCACTAAATCGAGATTAATTAAATATATTTCTAGGATTGACCACAAGGTGACACCAACTAGGGAATCATTGGAAAATGATCAAGGAGTATTTAAACAGCTGTTTCGCACTGGTTTGGACTCTTCTAGAAATAGCTATTCAGTACTGCTTGTTTGCTTTCAATGGTCCTTTAACTGATATCAGCTCATGAACAATTCCGTCACTAATCTAACCTCTTCAAGCCAGTACTTGATTAATAATGCTCATAATTTCAAGGCAAAAAAACATCAAGACAGTTATATCATTAAAAAAAGGAATATACATTGCATTACTATAAAACATATGGAATGCTGTGAAGACAACGCGTGAACACTCACTTCCTGATGCTTTTACAGTGGTAAGAAATGACAGTAATAAAATGTATACTAACATTCTGAAGAATAAGTATGTGATAATAGTATTTAGACGGTTGGTATATTAGTAATGTGAACATATTTATATATATGTATATTAGTGGCCTATATTTTGAAGGTAGTGATTGATTGGTTGACTAAATTTTTTCTTCTTCTTTAGTTATGTTGATTGGATCTTAACTCGCTGAAATAGTTAAGCATCAGTTTACTGGTAAACATCACACTTAATAAGTTAAAGCAAAACAAAATTAAGTAGTAAATGCAGTTCATTCACATTCCTAAGTAAATACCATAATCATACTAACAAGACCGACAACAACAACCTACTATCAATACCGCTAGCAGTAGTCTTAGAAGAGAATATTTGGTATGTATTCACACATAAAGTTAATTTCATACACACAATATCCTATTTACGTGTGCTGTATGTTTGTAATTCATAAAACGATATGCGGTTTCATTTAAGTCTAATTATCTTTTGTTTTCTGTTTTTACATTCCAATGAAAACATAGGCATGTAAAAACTTTAAATTTTCCGGTAGTACTTGTGTTGCCTGCTTATACAGTGAAGTTGCTAGCCTAACCGTCAACTTTCTGTCTTTTATAGGCTAAATCAATGGTTAATTAACTAGGTGAGGTGATTAGGACTGAATCAACCAGGAATCGAACTCAAAACCCCTTGTGTGTTTTGTTGTTGTAGAGCATTCTCTGGCATCTTCAGTGAACTCAAAATATAACCCATGAAATATATATGTATATATATACACGGTAGGTTCTTCATTCAAATAAATACGATAAATGTAGTAAAACCCACGATAAAATTATTGACGTAACAGCAATCCTTAGCAAACCAGCATACACGGAAAACATGAATGAACATTTAGAATTTAAACCTTTTACTCTAATAATGAAATCATCAGAAACGACCATAAGCAAAATGATGATGTAACAAGCAGCAAAGGTTGTTAAACAGGTGAGAGAAATGATCAGTGAGTGAAAATATCTTGAAATTATGCCGGAATGATGTAGTATACCAAAGATATATGCTACGATGAAACTCTATAAATAAAGGTATCTGATAAGACCGATTGTAGAGTTTAGAAATACACAGACCAATATCCTATCAAGATTTCTTGCAACAATACTGAGACAAACAAGAAAAGATTCAAAAGCTAGAATAGTAGACTCATTTGAATTAGTGAGACGAAGAGGAAATGTTAGTCAGCTTCGATGTCAACAGTTGGTTGGTGACACTGAAAACGAGAATAAACGAAGTGATAGCCTAGAAGAAAGGATATAATTATCTTGAGGAGAGATAATAAAGGGGGTTTAATTATACCTAACAACAACATATTTTCCATATGAAGGAAAAATATATTTGTAAACACATGGAAAATTCCTATTGTAAAATTTAGAAAACAAGTGATTCAGCGAAGAGACTCTTTTCAACGAATTTATCATCAAGCTGTACAATCGCACATATATGTGGTTTTTAAGACGTTATATCCGGTGAGGCAATTGAATCTTAGGTGTCAATGCATAAAATAATAATAATAGTAGTATGAAATGCAATTAAAAAACTGAAATGTTTGTGATTATAATCGTAGTTAAATGTCAAGTGGCAAAGCAAATTAGTGTCATATATAGAATGATTCGTAGGATAGACAGAAATTGAAAAAGGGTGTGCAATTATAGGATTAGTAGACAAATCGAATAAAACAAAAACGTTACGCAATATTGTGTGAAATTTAATAGTATAGAATTTATCGTTGTAAAAAAAGAATTGATTTAGAATGATAAGTGGAACAAGTGAAATAATATCGGGACAGTTCAAAGTGAGAATAGTAATAGTAACAACTGACGCGATAAGGAAGAGTATACAAATTGAATAGACAGAATGAAAAAAAATGAAAAATTGGTAGAGCTAAAATATGATTGGGAATTACCACACTTTAGCGTAGAGGGATTAAGACCATAAAAGTTGGAGAGGCTGAAAGAAACTTTTTCTGTACACAGAGATCTGGCTTTTCTGTTTCGATAGCCAAAGCTTCAGCAATACAGATGAGTCGGGTACGTAGGGATTTGGGTAAGTTACTCTTTGTTTTGTAGATGACTTTAAAGGCGGAGGCTATAGAGGTAGGGTGATTATTATCGACCAGATGTTCAATGATCGCGCTTCTTATGGCTCCAGCTCCACCTTTTCGTAGCCATGCAGGATAGTGTTCTTGCACCCTGTTGGACAAAACTCGAGTCGAACGACCAATATACCTAGCTCCACACGAGCAGGCGAATTGATAAACACACATAGAGTTGGTCAACAGTGGGATCTTGTCCTTCAGGTTATTGAACAGTAATGGTCGGCTAGCAAAGGCTATTCTCAGGGATGCAGCAGGGAATGTTCTTTTCAGGGACTGTGTTATCCTTCGTTTCATGATATCGGAAGCTAATTCCCCTTTGAATTCCAAGCTCATGTAAAGTATTTTCTTCGGTACGGTTGATAAGTCACGTTTTGTAGTCTTTGAATGTATATTCTTATCTATAAAACGTGGTGGAAATCCATTTTCCATTAGGATTTTCCTCAAAATGTATAACTCATCTTCCACAGTATCAGTGCTACATATGCACCGAATACGAGTGGCTGGCGACCGGACCAGGTTTCGTTTTCGACCAATGGGTACCCAGCTGTAGAAATTTGTCAGTTGACCATTCCATAACAGCTTACGATAAATCGATCTCTTCAGAGTCCCATCGGTCCTTCTAGATAAGTTCACATCAAGGAAATGAATGCTAGACTCGTTCTCCACACAATTCCTTTTTACAACGATAAATTCTATACTATTAAATTTCACACAATATTGCGTAACGTTTTTGTTTTATTCGATTTGTCTACTAATCCTATAATTGCACACCCTTTTTCAATTTCTGTCTATCCTACGAATCATTCTATATATGACACTAATTTGCTTTGCC